CTAATTGTGAAGGGTTAAGTAATGGACCTTTTATTTATTTTATTTTTTATTTTTGGTGGGGAGGGACAGAGGGAGAGAGAGAATCTTAAGTAGGCTCCACATCCATCGCAGAGCCCGATGTGGGGCTTGATCTCACAATCCTGAGATCATGACCTGAGTCAAAATGGAGAATTGGACACTTAATGAACTGAGCCATCAGGTGCCCCATGTTAAGTAATAGAGCTTCTAGATGAAAACAGGAGAATATCTCTTTGCCTAATAGAATATCTATTTTAAAAGAATATCTATTAGGCAAAGGTTTCTTAAAACAGATTAAATATAAACTAAAAATTGATAAACTGAGCTATATTAAAACCAAGAGCCTTTGTTTATGGAAAGATATTATTAAACGACTTAAAAGGCAACATTCAGAGTGAAAAAAGATATTTGCAGTATATGTGTCCACCAGAGGACTAGCATCCTGAATATCTGAAGAATTCCTATGAATAATTAAGTAAAGGACAGTCAACCCAATAGAAGAATGAGCAAAACACTTGAATAGATATATCATAAAAGAGCACATCCAAATGGCCAATGCACATTATGAAAAGGTGCTCTACTCAATTTGTCTTCTTTTTCTAGTTTCTGTAATTGGGAGCTTCATAGTAGATCTTTTTTCTTTCCAATGTAAGCACTTTGTTAGCCCCTCACATTTTGAAATGTGTTGTTTTAATTTTTTGTAATTCAAACTATTTTTTAATTCCTCTTGGAGTCTATATCTAGAGAAAAAGGTTTGAAAGTTTTAAGTTGGGGATTTCTCAGACATCATTCTGGTATTGATTTCTAATTTAATTATATTCTGGGCACCGAAGATACTTCTCATGATTTAGATCTTTTTAATTTTGCTGAGAATTGTTTTATTGTCCAGCATGTGGTTTTATCTTAGAGAAAGCTCCATGGCACTTGAAAACAGTTATTGTGTGGAATGTTTTATAAATGTCTATTAGGTCAAGTTTTTTTCATAGTGCTTTTCAAATATTCTGTGTCCTGTTTTCCATTCACTTTCTCTATTGATTGCTAAGACAGGTGTGTTTAAAATCTCAGTTTAAACCATTTCCAGGTTTTTAAAAACACTGTTAGTACAGGTTTCAAGAGACTTGTTTATCCCTACTCATTAGATGACTTTTTTGGATTCCTTGTTGAAGTTCCTGGTAATCAACAAAGATTCTCCTCTCACACCCGTCAGAATTCAAGGTCTCCCACCCCTGTGTAAACTCTGGGAATAGTTCCTTTATGGGCTCCAGTTGTTCTCTGCCTGCCTTGTTGAATTTGGTCCTATGTATATGCAACAAAGTATTTAACCATAGACTCAAAAGAATTCTTATGCAGATTTCTGTAGCTATTTCTTTTTATAGATCCCTCCTCTGGGAACTTTTTGTCACAAATTCCATCATTTCAGTCTTCCCAAACTCGTCTCTTTTCTTCATCTCAGCGAGGCCATCATGTTGTTCTTGGGACGCCTCTCCCTGTATCATGGTCTGGAGAGTGGCTCCTGGCAGAAATCTGGACTATCATTAGGGCTCTCTTTGTTAATTTCCTTTCTCTGAGGGATCACAGTTCTCTGCTGCCTGTTGTCCAGCATCTGAATACAGTCATTTCATATAATTTGTCCAGTAAAAAGTAGATTTTGAATTGTGGTCCTTCAGAGTGTCAGAAACATCAGAATAGGTGGGCAGTAAATCAGTCAGTGATAGCCAATGTTCGTCCTGCTCAAGGGTGCCCACTCTGACAGACCCTCCTCCACACATCCGTTAGGATGTGGTTTGTTGGTGCTTAGTTTGACTCAAGAACAGTTGGTCCCTAATATTTATATATACTTATTACAAGTAGGGACTGTGTAAGTTCTTTCAAGATAAAACAAAACAAAACAAACTATAAGTATAAAATACCTCTAAATAAGCAAGAAATAACATTTCCAACAATCGTAGCCCTGTGTTCTGCTACGTTAGTGATCTGAAAGCCAAGGAAAACTAAGTTGAGAAGAGCCACCTCTGTTTTTCTCTTTGTTGGGGCCATCTTATTTCAGAATGTTCCATGTTCTTAGCTAAACAAAGCAGTAACCTAATCCAAACTTAATTGCTCTGTGGATGGGTGTATGTGTGTGCGTGTGTGTTTGCTCCTCCCATCAATCTGTAACCTACCTGAGAAACTGCAAATATAATCATAGAATCCTAATTTTTTAGATCCTTATGTGTGTGTATTTATGTTTATATTAAAAAATACAAGTATACGCATCAAACTATAAATATCATTTTTTCAAGAAATAATCTGAGTGAGGAAAAGCAGAGACTACTTGTTTTTTAATATTTATATAAAGTATAAATATAAAATATATTTCTTAATATATAAATGTATAATTGAATAATTTTTATAAAGCAAAGTATATTATAAAATATATATTTTTTATATTGTTGAATACATAACAGTATAGAGCTGCTGTATCTTCCTAGTAAATCATTCCTTTGATCATTATGTAATGACCATCTATCTTTAATATTGTTTTTTTCTTATTGTATATTTTATTTTTTATGCTCCTTTAAAAAATCCTTCTCTTGGACGCCTGGGTGGTTCAGTCACTAAGCGTCTGCCTTCGGCTCAGGTTGTGATCCCAGGGTCCTGGGATCGAGCCCCGCATCGGGCTCCCTGCTGGGCGGGAAGCCTGCTTCTCCCTCTCCCTCTCCCCCTGCTTGTGTTCACGCTCTCGCTATCTCTGTCTCTGTCAAATAAATAAATAAAATCTTTAAAAAAAAAAAAAGCCTTCTCTTGCCTTAGATTGAGTACATTTTGTTAATTTCTTTTTTTTGACCTCTTCTGATTTGTAAATTTTATATTTCTTTTCCATTCTTTAAATGCTTTTTCTTGAAATTGTACATCACTTATTTGACAAACTAAGGTTCATCAGCACCTTTATCCTCTCCAACAATACAGGGTTCTTAAAATACTGTAACTCTGATCCTTTCCTTGATCTTATATCATTTTATTGTTCAGAAATTTAGTTCTACCGTGTTCTGTCTCTACCTTCATTTGGATATTGTTATATCTACTTTACATGATAAATGTTGGTTTACTTCCGTGTACATATTTACAGATGTCTTTTCATCATCACTGACTATTTTGTTTCCTATGTTGATTTTGAGGGGTTTTTTTCAACCTAAAATATATTCTTTAATAGTTCTTTCATCTAAGATCTATGAATAGTAAACCTTTGAATGTTGAAGATATTACTTATTTTTCTTCTCACCTTTCTTGTTGCTGTGAGAAGTCTTCTGTCACTCCAAAGCTCTTTAGTTGTTAAGTAACATCTCTTCTCAGTATGGTTGCTTTTAAGATTGCCTCTTTGTCGGTGGGGTCCTACAGTTTCCCTCTGTTTCTAACTGTGAATATAGTTTTATTTACTCTGTTTGCAATTTTACTCTCTTAATCTATTAATTTACATTTTTCATCAGCTCTCAGTTTTCAGCCATTTTATATAAAAATTTTTATTTATTTATTTAAGGGAGAGAGTGTGCGCGCAAGTGGAGGGAAGAACAGACAGGGAGGGGGAGAGAGAATCCCAAGCAGGCTGCACGCTCAGTGTGGACCCCTACACAGGGCTTGATCTCACATCCTGAGAGCATGACCTGAGCAGAAATCAACCCAGGCACCCCTCTCCTTGAATAATTTCTGAGATGCTTTTTGGGCTTCTCATTTAAATGCACTTTATATATTGTTACTATTTTCCTTCCTTTTATTTCTTAGTGTTGTCTTTAATTTCACCAGTTTTCATTAGCTTTGTTTATGTGCTATTTAACACGTTTGTTGAGTTTTCAGTCTGTTATGTTTTTAAAAATATGTTTTGTCCCCTTTTTTTCTTTTTTTCAACATTTTTAAAACTCTGTATAAAAACTCATTTTGAATTTTCTGTTGTTTCTATTTCCCTATTGTGCCTTCTCTCATTTTGGGCAGGGGGTGATATGTAGACTGTCATTCGTGGCTTTGAACTTATTCATTATTCATACAATTATTCTTACCTGCAAATTTAACTTTTGAGTTTTATTTTCTGTGATGCTCTTTCTCCTATCCATTCTCTCAGTTGTGGAAGCCTATCTGTAATGGGTGATTGTGTCTGCCGGAACTCTCCCGTGGACACTGGCCATGAACCAGTTTTTACATTACTGTCAATTCTTTAGATCTCTGCAAATGTATATGGCTAGATTTTGAAACCAGTTAATATGGGCTTGCCTCTTTTTAATGAAACTCCAGCCAGATAAACAAATATTTGTGTCAAACTCAGCAAATTTTTGTCTCCCATCTTGCCACAGTTAGCCCAGTTTTGTCTCTCAGCCATGGAGGGCCTAGGGCATAAACTTCCATCCCCATTTAAGTCTGAAGGTCTGAGGTCTCCATGGGTGGTATTTGATCCAGTCTGTCATCGTGGTAGTTCAATTCCATTTTACTAGTAGGGGTTCTTTGTCTTTTCTTGGCATCTAGAAATGTACTCTTTTTGCTTTCGGTATATGTATTAACATTTTATCATGATTTTTACATAGTATATCTGTGTGTTAAGAAGTGTTTGGGTTGGGGAGCCTGACTGGCAGTCAGTATAGCATGTAACTCTTGATCTTGGGGCTATAAGTGCGAGCCCCACAGTGGTTGTAGAGATTACTTAAAAATAAAATCTTAGAAAAAAAGTGGTTGGGTAACTCAATACATTATTTTTTTTTTATCATATAGTCTATGTTTTAAGTATTTAACATGTTTACTTAGATAAATTTAAATATCACTTAGGACATTTTACTTCCCAGATTCTCATTAAAATTCAATTTTAATTGTTAGGATTTGTTAATAGTGATATATTTTTCTTTTATTTTATTACTGTGTAATTCATATTTTGTTAAATATTTTTACTACCTTCATCTGTTGCTACATTATTCCTTAACTTATGCATTTTAAATAATCATTTATTGTGTTAATTTTCATAGGATGACTCTTCAAGAAGAATTGGATAAACTTAAAGTACATATATCTGTTGATAAGAGAACAATACAAGAATTGAATACATGTTTGGCTGAGAAGAGAGAAGGTACTTTTTTTGTGAGACTAAATATTTATTATAGGCATTTTAAAATCTAGTTCTTGATGTTTTATTTTTAATTTCTTGTAAGACTCTTATCCTTGTTCCCCCTCTTTCTACTGCTTTGCTTATTGATAATGTGATTAACATTTTTACCTTACATGAGAAAATCAAATAGAACACCTAAAAGTCAGCTTTATAATTCATTAAAAATTCTAAAGAGATATTTGATAAGGAGAAAAGATGTTTGTTTTTCGATTCATTGATAAAGTTTTACTAGTTATGTTTGTTCAAAGTTCTAGAAATTATATGGTTATTGTACTCAATATTAATAATTCATTTATATTTTTGTGTGATATGACATTTTTCTGGCACTCATTTAGTTCTCGTCTATTGTCCTGGAATCAAAATCACAGAGTTAGAAGGAAACTTGGAGATCTGCAAATCTGCCACCTTCCTGACCACTAGCTTAAAACTGTTTAGTAAAAGGAATGTATCTGTAATTGAAGGGTTATTCCTTTGTTAAAATCAAGATAACTGTATTTACTATAGGACTTCAATCCATACTGTAATACCTCATTAGACAAAAGTAAGGTTGATAGGACAGAATTTCTCCTTATTTAACTTCACTATAGCATCATTGTTACCACTGTACTTTTTAGGTATTGACAATTTATAATTAATAATTAACTTAATAATTTATACTTAACAAGTTTTCATATACCACTCACCTGCCTATTGTCCCAATTACTGTTGTTGTTCCAGTTGCTCTTAGTTAGGTCACTGGTGACTTGTCAAAGCCAGTGTTTGAAATCATCTCTTTTACACCACTGATTTATATCATATTTCAAGCTTACTCCTTCACTGGCTTCTGAAACATTGGTTTTCCTTTGTTTTAGCTATGCTTGCCTCTATCTTCTGTTTCTTCCAGTGGAACTTCCTTCCATTTATTCCTTAACTCTTGGGGTTCTCTAAGATTTTATCCTTGGTTTACTTTTCAAGAATAATAACTTTACTGGGCGCCTGAGTGGCTCAGATGGTTAAGCGTCTGCCTTCAGCTCAGGTCATGATCCCAGGGTCCTGGGATCGAGTCCCGCATTGGGCTCCCAGCTCCTTGGGAGCCTGCTTCTCCCTCTGCCTCTCTCTCTCTTTCATGAATAAATAAATAAAATAAAATCTTTAAAAAAAAAGAAAACATTTAAAAAAAAAGAATAATAACTTTACTGTTCCTGGAAAAATTACACATACTTATGAATATTCAAGCAATAAGAAAGAATAAAAAAAGACAAAGAAAAACATCCTAATTCACAAACACTTAAAAATCAAAATTTCAATCTTAAATAATTATCAAATCAAACACCTCTTGATACTTATAAAGAAAGAAGCCTAGTTAGATAAATTGTGGAAAAAGAAAACCATAATGTATGCTATTTTTAAAAAGGATATTTACATATGATTTTGTTTGGCACCAACCAAATAAAAAGAAATGGGTGTAAACATGAAGGAACTGTTGAACTTTAGGTAACTGTCTCATTACTTCAATAAATATTGATTTCTAAAACTTCCCTCTAAGATTAAAAAGAAAGGTTCTAAAAACATTGAAGACGGAACTACTTTGTATTTTTAGAAGTATGTATTTCAATTTCAGGGCATATTAAAAATTAATTCCTTGCCATTCATAGATGAAAATAACAGTTGTTTTTAAAAAAAAACATTTTATTTTGTTTCCCTCACATCTTGAGTCTTGTTCATTAAATAACCTTTTAATTTTATCAAAGTCTATAACTTAATATATTGCAACAATGATTTCCTCAGTTTTAAAGTCTTATTTTTATATACAAAGGGCTCAGTACTCATCACATTTTTTAAAGTCATAGCCTTTCTATTCATGAGTTCTTTATTTTGATTTATTTTTTGGTTAGCCAGATATAACTGAAATTATGTTTTTTTTTTCAAGAAGGAATCAAAATAGCTATGTTTGTAAGAACTTAGATGTTTAAAAATATGTTTCAATAGTCTTTTTAGTCAATGAATAAATTGGGTATAATTTTATCATTTTACACTTTTTTTCTCCTCAAAACTTTCTAGATGCTACTCATTTTTAGAATGGAAGGTTGCTATAGAGATATATTATGGAGAGGTGTCTGGTTTTCCTTCCCCCCACCCCGTACCTCACTCCTTTCTTTGGATGTGACTTGCTTTTGCTATGTTAATTTTTAGTTTTTCAACTTGATGTTCCTAAATTTAAATAGAATATGCCTTGATATAGTATGTTCTAAATCATATTTTGGATTATCCATGTAATTTGTTATTTGTCAATTAAGATCTTCCTGTATTACAAGGAAACATATTTTTGCATATTCCATTTTTTTTATACTCTAATTCCAGGATATCAGTTGTCTTTATGTTTGGTTACTTTTTGTGCCCCCCTGGCCAGGGGGATCCTGAGCCCTTGACTATAACTCCCTTCGGGGACCACAGTCCATTGGCCATGTACCAGGTCTGGTTGGGGAGGACAGCTTTCCCTCATGGGGCATGCCAGGTAAAGCATGTAATACCTATGATCAGGCCTGAAAAATCAATGATAGGATTAAGTTTGGAGTAAGAATCCTCAATTTTTACCACAAATGCATGAGTATGTTCATAAAAACACTGTTTATGGTATTCTTCATTGAAAGTTGAAGGCCTGTTTATTAATAAAAGAGCAAAACAAATGTGAAAACTCACAAACAACAGCAAGCATATTTTTTTTCTTTTTGTATGCGGGTATGTGGATTGGCTGAAGCAGTTCTCCTTGCTGTGGGTCATCTGGTCCAGCTCTTTTTCAGGCTACAAGTAGAGTTTACTTCAGCTCCATGTGTCTATTTCTTGGCTACAAAGGGACAAGTATAAACATACAGAGCCTCTTAAGCCTAGATTTGAAACTGGTGTATTGTAACTTCTGTCTACTTTCTTTGGCTAAAATAAGTCATTTTATCAAATACAGCTGGCAACAATTCATATGTCTTATATGTATGAGTTTCTGTGGAGGGTTGGGGGTATATTTCAGACTTGTTAGGCCCTCACCCATAAATTTTCTAGAAGTCCTTTTGTCCAGCTGAAAGTATCTACTAAGCATCACATTATTACTTTCAGAGATTGTTAGGAACAGGCATGACAGTCACACCCAGTGGCCAGGTCTTAATGTCAATATCTTGGATTTGGCCTTTCCTGCCAGAGTGTCAGTGGTTGCTCCTTTGATATGGTGAGAAACACTTTCATTTCCAACCCTGAAAGTACTGGAACATATGTACTTCCATATGCCTGTGGCTGCTCCTTTCTGAGCTCAGTTTTTCCTCTAGAACCTAGTCAGTAGCAGCCAGTAACAATCAACTCACTCTACACTGGAACTTCCTCACTCATTGTTACAAATTTATTGGCTGCATTTTTTGTCTTCCATGTTATGTCAGATGGCAGTTTGCCACTACATAACATGGGTCACCATTTTCTCAGCTCCTGGAGCATTCTTTGGCACCCACCACCCGGTCCCAAAATCAATGCCACATAATTTAGGTTTTTATTATAGCAGCATTCACCTATCGTTATCAACATCTGTCCCTGACGGCTTTTGCTACCATATAAACAACCACAAAATTTCAATGACTTGCAATAATACACATTATTTTTTTGTTGATGGTTTCTGCAGATCAGCTGGAGCAAATGTGCTTCAGGCTGTAGTTCTGTTGTTTGTCTGGAGCATATTGGGCTCATATGATTCCACATGTCTCGGGCCCAGGCCCAGGCCCAGGGTGAAGGAGGCAGTGACTATCTGGGCATACTCTTTTCAAAGCAGATACTGAAAATTTCCATGGGAAGAGGAGAAATACCTGTTTTAGGTTTATAACAGGCACACTTTATCTATACCCACATTCCTTTGGTCAAAGCAACTCAGGTGGCCAAGCTCAACATCAGTGGAGTGGGGATCTATGCTCTAACCTTGAAGGTAGAGGAGAATGGAGTAAGCATTTGCTGACTAATAATCTACCATAGTGTGATATCAAAGTATAAACCAAAAGCATTTGCTGTTTTTCAAGTACCTACTGCTCAAAATAATTAGTATACCAAAGCATCATATTTTCGGGTGGCATATCCTGCAACCCCTCATAATGATAATAGATTTTTAAAAATAACTTGAGAAAATAGCTAAAAGAATCTACCAGGAAGGAAGCAAGTTGCAGAAGAATTTAATTTGTTTTTGTAATCTAAGAGAATTAAGAGAAAAGAAAAACATAGAAGGAAGGATAAGTGTAAACAATTGTAAATAAGCAGTGTTAAAAATTAAAAAGTGGACAGGGAAGAAACTCCTGGGAAAGATTATAAATCACAGTGAATTTTTATAGTAAAAATAAAAGTAAGGCCTTGAAAACTAAAACATTAAAAATAAATCTCCAGCAAGGTGAATCATGCGCTCACACATCCAGCATAGGACAAAAATAGAACTGCATATTTCTAACTAGGTCCTCTTGGTTCATTTCTCAAATCCCGAGATCCTTGAATGGGAGAAGAATCAAGGGCCAGAGTGGGTTCCTTCCTTGTTCCCCTCCACCACTTGGGCCTAGCTTTATTCTTTATTAAAACCTGTGAAGGTGAGAAACTAAAGTTTTCAACAGAAAACCACAGGGGGACACGGTCAACCCGTCCACCAGTGGACTTTGTACACACCCAGGAACACAAATCAGCAATCAAATTCATTTTTAAATCAGTCTTTGGCATTTATTTTATTGGAATTATTTTGCTTTTTTTAGCATTCTGTGCGCTTTGAGCAGAGAAATATTTTCTTCTTATTTTTAAGAGTAAACATTTCACTTAGAATGATAGCAGATATTTAAATGACTTGAACAGCTGAATTGTATTTGCATATTATTTCTATATTGCTGAAAGAGTGTTGTAAATGAATTCAGCACCATGGTGTTAGGGGACTAGAAAAACAAACTTGGGAACCAATAGATTATTACCAAGGTAAAGGTACATATTCCCCAGGTGGCAAATTCTACCTATTTTAGCTTTTATTATTCTTAGGATAGTGTTCTATTTATTTCATGAGTACAGAAGTTTTAATTGGATATGTCATGTTTCAAAGACAAAAGAAATGCCTAATTCACTCTAACAAACTTGTTAGTCACTGTTTATACCAAGAGATTTCTACTCTACAGAGAATATTGTTTTCTTTTTCCTTTGTTGATAAATCAAAGTTTTACACTGACCTACAGCAGCCAAGCATACTTTAAAGCAAAATCACCTCAGTCTAACACAGATATGTATCCTTTTAGCTTTATGTATTCTTTTTCGCCCTTCTTTTGATTCTTTAAGAAATGTCTCCTAAAAATAATTCAGAAAGAAAATATTAAATTTGTCACAATAATTTATTTGATTAGAAAACATTTATTTATAAGTTTAATGTATTTAAATTTTACTAGTATTAAATGAAATTTTATCGGTTTTTTTTCCTTTAATTTTGATACGTTGCTTGTACATTTTTGCTTGGTTGAAAAGGTTTTGGTAGTCACAGGCATGGTCAGTATAGGAATTTTTGTAGAAACAATTTCACCTGTTATCTGGGTTTCTATGTGTTATAAAGTGACAGTTTTTCTGGAAATGTGATTTTTATGGTTTACTCTGCCCAGTACATGATCTTTTACCTGAAAAAAAGGTGGTGGTAGGGGCTATTAAAGTTTGAATCCACCCTAATTCGGTTAGTGTTTGCTTTGTTCAGCAATCACTCTGATCCTCCTGGCAGGGAACAAGATCCAGAGAACAAAACTAGTAGTGGCCGTATAGATAAGAAGGCTGCAAATTCTGCTTTTAAGGCAAAGGGGGAATAGTCTACAAAAGGATGAATATAGGAATAAAAGTATAGCATTGTTAACCTGAAGATCTGTTGTACCTTTGAAAATCTTACACTGGAAAAAAAAAAAGACACTACAAAGGTACGTAATTATGTGATTGAAAATCTTGGAAAAGGTCACCATTTAGTTCCCAGCCAAATACTCGACAATAAAATAGACTAGATTATTCACAGTTGAGAAACTGAGAACCCTTTTCCTTAAAATGACAGGCCAATGTTTCAGCAGTATATGAGGTACCATAATATGTTATTTATTCTCTCCCAGAACAACTGTGTAGATGCGGTGAAGATGATGGGGTCAAGAGTACTCCAGAGAAGAATGGGAAAGAAATGTCGGAGCAGACATTGCAGAAGGTAGTCTAATCTTTAAGATATTGAGCTGAGGAAGTTAAATCTGAATTTTAACATAAAGGATTATATTTTAAAACGAGGGCTCATGAACTTAAACCTTGTGTGAATCCTTAATTTAAATTCATAATTCAAAATCATTTCGCTTGCCAAAATGGGTTAAAAAAAAATCAATGTTAGTGAAATAAATGTGGAAACACTTGTGCTTCTGTTGACATAGATTAAAAATATCTTCAAGATGAAATGAAGAGCATGACAATGGAAATTATAAAAATTTATACTATATGTGCTTTTTAGTTATAACTTAGCAGTTTAACTTTAAAATGGGACATGATGAGACTCTGTTATACTTCAAAAAGCATATAGATTTGCAATATTTGAACTATTAAAACTGAGCATAGTTTTAGCTTCAGTGAAGTAAAATGGTAATATGTTTATAATTTAATAAAAATATACATGACTCATCTCATTTTAGATAGAAATTTATGCCCATATAATTTAGGATCGCTCTCCCTGTTTTAACAGAACCACTCATATAAACCCTTCAGTCACTTTACATCATGCCTATAATTAATAATAAAATTTCTTTAAAAATATTAACATCTATCTTTATAATTTTACTTAATTCATATTTTTATATATAAATACATTCTTACCATGATCCATTAAGTTGGCTTGGTTGCATTTTAGCACTTGTTATTCTTATAAAGAAAATATTTTTTAAGGTATATCCTATGACTGGTTGTCATTTGCTACACTGGATACTTAGATAAAGCTGGAAATACACAAATATATAAACAAAAACATTAATATGGCTACTTATATTTCTCACATCTGTGACTTGACATATAGGAAATCTAGTGACTTACAACAGATGATGTGATCACTTCTACTTCTAACACTTGCCATATGTCAAGTAACAAAGGCTGTCATCTTATTACTACTGAATAACACATATCAGGTTAACACAATAACATACAGAACAAGAAATGCTCACATTCCTTTATCTTAAGGTAAAATGAGTAATTGAAATAATACATGCATTATCAGCTGGAATGTCAAACAGTTTGCACTAGCTTATCTTCTTTGATTCAGAGCAATATTTTTGTTTGCTGGGGTTTCTATAATTTTTCTCTCTATGGCTATATACATATATATATATATATATATACTGTCCTACTACCTACTACGTCCTTAGGGTAGAAACCCTAAAGAAATCCATTCTTTCATTCCAGCTGCCATAAATGGCTACTACCATAGTGGATCCAGAAATCCATTTTAAGTCCTGAAAAGCCAAGAGGAATTATTTGCATTGGACCATAACTAATTTGTCACTCGTCCAATGCAGTTGGACGAGTCATGATTTAACCTTTTTTAGTTGGGTTTCCTGATTTTAAAAGGATGTATTGTAAAACTCATTCAAAATAGGTTTAAAAGATAGCAACAGCGTGAAAACAGTATTTGTTTACATAGTAGAAATAAAACACATAAAATTATTTTTTTTAATAATGGATTAACATTTCTCACTGTTATGGCATGAATTGAATCCCCCCCACCCAATTTTATTATGCCAAAGTCCTAATTCCCAGTATCTCAGAATGTGACTGTATTTGGAGATGAGGTCTTCAAAGAGTTCATTAAGTTAAAATGAAATTGTTGGGGTTTAAACTACCCACTCTGTGGTATTTTCCTATGGCAGCCCTAGCAGGGTATTACACTTTACAAAGTCAGGTGTTTTATTTCAATTTTGAAAGGAGTCATCTTTTTTGGTAAATTATTTAAATGATCAGTACTGGAGGAAAAGTATGCACTTGAGTTGATTTACAGACAAACCAGATGCCTTTAACAAACCCCTAGACTTTCCTTCTCAAATATATATTGAAATTTCCCTTTTTGTTTCTGGAGGCTTAACATCAGTTTAACAGTAATTTTTAAGAGTATACCTTGAATGACATTTTAATATATGCTATGAGCTTTCCTTTTCTCAAGTCTTTAGAAGTAGTGTCTCTGGGGGCACCTGGGTGGCTCAGTAGGTTGAGCATCTGCATTCAGTTCAGGTCATGATCTCAGGGTCCTGGGATTGAGCCCAGAATCCTGTTCTCTGCTCAGCGGGGAGTCTGTTTCTCCCTGTCACTTTCCCTCTGTGCTCGCTTGCTCTCTCTCTCCAATAAATAAATAAAATCTTTAAAAAAAAAAAAGTAGTGTCTCTGTTTTGTTATTTGGCCTCCATTTTTAAACTTAAATGCAAATAATTTTGACCAGTTTTTATGATTAAACATGGATTCACATTAGGCAGTTAACAGACTTAAACATTTTAAATGTAAAATGACTTTAAAAAGGCATTTTTCCAGTGGTACATAAAATTTCCATGAGTTGCACCCAAACTTAAATGGATTTTAGTTAAAAGAAAAAGATAATGCTAATTTCCAGAATTGAAATCTCATATTCAAGATGTTTGTTACATTTGTTCATAACATGTTGATTTAATGGCTAATTCAGCAGTATTTAGTGCAAGTAATTCTATTCCATCTCAAGTAATTTTATTAAGTAGCTGTTGTGATTAATAATAATAGAGACAATAATGATGATGGTGATGGTGATGATAAACTGTTTAGACCTGACTGTCTACCAGGAACTGTGGTATATGATCATATTTAATAATAATAATCTGCAAGACTGTTCCCATTTCACAAATGAGGAAACTTTAAAATAAGTTAAAATAAGTTAAATGTTTTACCAGGTTAAGGTAACTTGAGCCGGAAGTAAGATAGAGACCAGAACCAAATTTAATTTCCCCAAGACCATACTGTTTCTTAATATTTTTATATCACCACTGTCAAAATTAATTAAAAAAAAAGAGGTGTAATTGCTTATTTGCACAAAATAAATTTTAAAAAATACAGTCTATTCTACTTACTCCATCATGGAATCTAACATGTGAAAATATTTTAAAATATATATATGAAAAGTATACTGTTGTTTGCAGTGATTAAAACCACTAAGAAACTGAAGAGATTGTAAAAAAGTGATATTCCTTATTTTGTAGTATTTTTTACTAAATACTAAGTTAAGTTGGCTAAGTTAATGATTTTGGCATAGAATGATTTTGAAAAAGTAAACGGTTTTCAGTCAGAGTTCATGTGTTCTTGAACACTGTATTTTTTGTCACATTATCCAGCTCTTCAATAAAGTATTTGCACTGTAGAGGAACAATAGAATTTCTCTTGCAAAAATACACAGAGGTCTGCAATAATCTGGTACAAACTCTTTCATATACCTCTATTCCAGGTCAAGAGTGAGCTTTATAAAGACATAGGTCTAACAGTAGGTGACTATATCATACTATGGAATCGCACATTTAAATTAGATGAGATTCTTAATATTTTTGTTGGGAAATATCCATGTCCTGAAACAGGATAACCGATTGGTGAAGTCTAGTGAATTAAATGAAGGAGGTTGACCTCACAAGAAGAATAGAGGGTGCAGAAGGTTAGGTAAATCAGAAATGACTGAAAATTATGTTTGGGAAACAACTTAGATATTCACCACCATAACTAAGTCCAGTTAACTGGAAAGCAATAAGAATATGCGTAAGTTTCATCTTGTAGATTTCTGGAATATTTTAAGTTATTGGTTGTCAATACATCAAGTATGTTTCTCCTTTGAAGAATCGTTTTAAAAGTAAAAATGAGTCCATAAAGTGTTCCAATCATTTAGGTTTCTTGCTTGACCCCAGTTCTTTGTTCATTTCCATGTGTATCTGGGTAACTCTTCCCCATATGGCTTGTAGAATAGTGTGAGGGGCACAGAATCTTGAATTTGAATCCCATTTCAAAGCAGGAAATGTTTACCTCTCTGCATTATTTAAGTTTTCAGAGCCTCTGTTTCCTCCTCTGGGAAGATAATTATTGGCTCTACTTCCTTCACATGGTTTTGAGATGATCAGAAGAGATCATGTTTATGAAACCATCTTGTAAATGGTAAACTGTACTTTCCAAACAATGGTGATTATTTATTTTTCAAGATTTCAATTGAAATTAACTCCTCCTTGAAATTTTCATACTCATGGCTTAGAATTAATTGCTCTGTCCTTTTTGCCCAGCCTTATGGCACTTAGATCCTATCCTTTATCAGATTTATTTATGCAAGTGCCTTTCTTTCCAAATAGTTTTTGAAATTTCTTAAGGTCAGAAATTGTATGTTTTCATTTCTATGTCCTGCAATGTGGACAATGTTTATTGAAATAAATGAACACAATTTTGGAATAATTATAATTTTAAGCTGTTAGAGTTTTTTTCAGTAAATGTTTATTGTATAAACTAAGGACCTCATGACTACTAAAGTTACAATTTTCTAATTTAGAATAAAGCAGCTTTGGTAGAGTATATTTTATATAGGTAATCATTTTTTCATATGATAGTTCGATGTTGAAGAAAATTGTTATTTTATTAATGAAGTTTCTCTGCGTATCTGTTTATAGACTTTTTGTATAAATTGCTTTTCTCTGAAAATATTTTTCACAATAAATAGACTCTATAGCCAAAGCACTTATCTCAGAAAACTCTGCAAAGTTTATTAGCATACTTAGTTCTGTATCACTTTGTGTAGAATTTTAACTTCTTTTACCATCTGTCCTTTATTCAACAGATGTATTATTGCATTTTATAGTGTATTTATCTACACCACCATAGAATTATTTAGAAATTAAGTACTTTAGATTTATTTTGTCCTTGTGCTACGTGTGACTTGACTTTAATAAAGGAGAAGTGATAAAAAATATACAGCAGATTATGGGACTTTTAAAAAGAATAAATTAAACTCTTCTGTTTAGGTCATTGAATTGGAAGATCGGCTAAAATCTTTTGAGAAAGGGTCAAGAAAAATAAAAGAAGGGAATAAAAAATTAATGAAAGAAAATGACTTCCTGAAATCCCTCTTAAAACAGCAACAAGAAGATTCAGAGGGCAGAGAAAAAGAGCTAGAACAGCTACAAAGGGGGAGTAAAGAAGTAGAAAGAGATAAAGCTGAACTTCAGGTAAAAATCAGTGAGCTGGAGAGAGAAGTCACTTCCCTAAGGAGACAAGTGGCAGAAGCTAATGGGTTGAGAAATGAAAATGAAGAACAGATGAATTCAGTGGAGAAATCGCAGCATTCTGCAGACAAAGCTAAACCTGAGATGGCCATTACGGAAGTAAGATCTGGACAATACGATTGTAAGACAACCACGACCAAGGTTAAATTTAAAGCTGCAAAGAAAAAGTGCTCTGTGGGTCGTTACCACACTGTTCTCAATCATTCCATCAAGGTTATGAGCAATGTGTTTGAGAACCTCAGCAAGGACGGCTGGGAGGATGTGAGTGAAAGCAGGTAAGGCTCTCATTAACTTAGCTCTGTGGTGGGGACACTGTGCATATGTAAAGCACCAGCAAATGGAGATTGAATTTCAACTACTGTCGATTTGGTATTCAGAAAAAATACTGTCAGATCCTTTGAAATATCTTGGGAGGTCTTGTTCTGAGCTTATTGACTGAAATTTGCATGCAAAATTAGCCACAACTGCATGAGTATTTGAATAGGTGCCAGGAAACCCAAAAGAAGGCAATGCTTGATTTCTTCCAGTGATGCTATTTTCATGCAGTCATGAGGCTTGAAATTGACAGTTTGGCAGGTTGATTTAATTTGCTGGCCCTTTGCATATTCACCACTGACAGCTAAGGATTCCCAGGCAAGCCTACTAAGTCGGTTTAGTTATCTTGTGACATGCCAACCTGGGAGGAGAAACATTTTTCCCCCTTAATTTAGTTAGATAAATTTTGAATGACCCATTTCAGCTTGTTACCAGATGTCTACAAGCTGTTTAACATCCTTTAAATTAAGAACCATCTTCACTAATTATTTCATGTATGTATTTATGCAAAGTCATTGTACTAACTTTAATTGAATGGTGGTTAAAAATTAGTTCTTTAAAGTTAAAGCTCTATAAATTCCTAGTCCTGAGTTATATAACGCCTAGTGGATAGCAGCAGGAAAATACTAAAAATCTATAATATTTCTTTTCCTTACCCCTGGCTATACATTCGTATACATACTTGAAGCATATCAGTAAAACCACCAAGGCAAATGGATAGTAGAACACGTCTTTTTATACCCAGGTAATAGGGAAGTTCAGTGTTGCCAGAATTGCTAACAAATTGAACAGCTTTCCATAATTCCGTCTTATTTTGTAATGGCATGTATTTTCTTTTATTTTTCCAAGTTCTTTTTTTTTTTTTTTTAAATCCCCAAAAGAGATCTGTTTTAGATTTGGGATGTCCCTGGATGGTGTAGGGGTGGAAGAGTTTTCCCTTTCCTTCGAGGTTCCTTGGCTGGTCTAATAATGAAATTGATATAAGACAGATTAACAGGAGGAAAACAAACAAGTTTAATAACATGCATCCCTCCTGTCTACATAGGAGAGACCCAAGAAAACGGAGTAACAACCCCAAATGGCCAAAACCATTACCTTAAATAATCATCTTCAGCTAAAGACAAAAGAAGATGGGGACAGTTATGGGAGGTTATCAGGAAAAGTGCAGTAAATAAGGGGGAAGATTGTTATGCAGATTTAAGTCATTGTCTTCTTCATTTACAAGAATTTTTAGAGACTTAAAGTCATCCATTTCTTCCTGGTACAAGGAGGGCGTGACACTCACAAGTGGAGATTTTCCTTATACATGTAAATGTCTCTTACAAAAAGGTAACTTCTTGATTTTCAGAACTTGTCCTATGTTTGCAGTTTCTTAAAAATAATTCTTATGCCAAAGAGACATATTTTGGGGTGGCAAATTCTGTTCCCCTGTAATCCCACCTTTGAAACTTTCCCAAGAAGTTTCACAGTTCAGAAGCTAAGCTGATAGATTGCTCTGGATCTCAAGGAACCAGTCTCCGTCCTGAGGATAGGTCAGTTTAGTTAAACAGTTGTGTGTTATTTCGGGAGGTGGGTCTTGCAGGTGGGCTCCCAAAACTAGACCTATTTTGTTGAGAAATCAGGCATTTAAAAAGGCATTCCCATGGAAGCAAAATAAAAACAAAGGTTAATGATTAGAGCAGATTATAAACCTAGTCTGAGTCCTAAGGGCAGCCAATAGAAAGAAGACATTTCTAGAGGGAGGGGCTGAAGCATCTTTTGCAGTTTGAATGTGTCTGATGATGTCATTGGTTGTGTAGGTAAACTTTCTGAGTGGCCCACACAGCAACAGGCATGAAGATTATCTAAACATGAGCTGTTGTGGTGGTTTCTCTGATGTTTATATCAAGTGACCTAGCTTCAGTTTGCAGGACTTCTGGAGAAGAGGCAGCTTTAGATCTCAGTGATTCCAAGTCAAAAGTATAAACTTAGTTTGGAGAGTCATAGCCAGATATTTGAGGAAACCAGAAGAATTCAGGATTCAATACAGTTAATAGACAAACAACAAACCCTCAAGGCAATTAATCAGAACTAGAATCTAATATCCACAAAGGTGTGTTACTGAAACATAATTATTCTTTTTCAAAGCACCCTAATTTCCACTAAAGATAGCCAAATTAAGACTAACTTGTTTGTAAAATAAGCCTAATTTCAGTAAACTTGGCCTGATTATTTACGTAAGTCCAGCAAAGAATAATGGTTGACCATATAGGCTCTTCTTAAATCTGTTTTACTGGAATTTTTCATAAGATTGCCTCTCAAGACCCAAGATGCCAGTCCAAGGATTTGCCCCCAGACTTGCCTGCAATAGCTATAGACTTGGGTAAATTTCTCTATTCTTGAGGTCCCCAAAATGTCCTAAGTTTTCTTCATCTGCCAAGAAGTGACCTTCCTTACCAGGTAAGGCTGCTGGGAGCCCTGTGAACAGGGTACCAGGCTGTTTCCCAAGAAGTTTTATTGGCTCCATAAAGTCATCTTAGTTCCTGAAGGCTGTCTGGTCATATCTGAGTCTGTGCATGCTTCTCTCAAATAGGACATTCCGGTCAAAACCTTGGTAATATACCCAGTGTTTCCAATTCTGTCATGTTATAAGAGAACAGATTCTTGTTGAATTTATGCAAAAAAAAAAAAAAAAGATTTCCATGAAAATATAAGAATGTTTACTAAGAGTTTCCAAATTCTGGAGGGATCACTTAGGGAGAAAAAGATAAATGTTTCCATTTGTTTACAAAAGGTGCAGTTTACCAAATTGTTGTAAGTCATTGTTAGCTTAAGAAAAGAAGTTTTCTTTCTTTTTTTTAAATTTTATTTTGTTATGTTAGTCACCATACAATACATCATTAGTTTTTGATGTAGTGATCCACGATTCATTGTTTTCGTATAACACTCAGTGATCCATGAAGTACGTGCCCTCCTTATACCCATCACCGGACTAACCCATCCTCCCACCCCCCTCCCCTCGAAAACCCTCAACTTGTTTCTCAGAGTCCATAGTCTCTCATGGTTCGTCTCTCCCTCCAATTTCCCCCCCTTCATTTTTCCCTTCCTTCTCCTAATGTCCTCCATGCTATTCCATATGTTCCACAAATAAGTGAAACCATATGATAATTGACTTCTCTGCTTGACTTATTTCACTTAGCATAATCTCCTCCAGTCCCATCCATGTTGATGTAAAAGTTGGGTATAAGAGAAGAAGTTTCTTAAATCTAGAAGAACAAAACATTAAAAATATTAATGATAAAACAAAGTCACAAAAACTATAATCATTCTCATCAGTTCCTTAAGGCCCATGTTATTAATTTTTGTTCTGCTTGAATCCAGTTTCTTTGTTAGTTCTGGAAACTCTTATCCAGTTCAGTTTTATGATCTTAATGTGATCAGAAACTGTATTTTAGAATATTTTCCATGAATCTTCTTGGAGATCAAGCATTTTCCAAACATTTTTGCAAAAGTTTCAGAGTAGGGGTGCCTGGGTGGCTCAGTCGGTTATGCGTTCAAGTCTTGATTTCAGCTCAGGTCATGATCTCAGGGTCATAACATCAGGCTCCTTGCTGGGCATGGAGCCTCCCTTAAGAGTCTCTCTCCCTCTTCCTCTGCCCCTCCCCCCTCCACAAGCTTGTGGTCTCTCTAAAAAAAAAACCACAAAAAAGCTATTAAAATTTCAAAGTAAAACAAAAACTGTGTAAAATGACAGAGTTAAAAATGGCCATGGTTAAAGATCTAGTGAGAGTTCATTACAATGCAATTGACAAGGAAATTTGGTTATTTCTGTGATATACATACTTCAAGATAATAACTAGAATTTAAGTGATAACATTATACCAGGACAAATCAGATTTTAAGAAATTTCATGCAAATTCCAGAACACTTAAATTAATACATATATCTACAAAAATGTAATCAAATAGGTTTGGCATCACTTTTTTGACCACATTTCTCATGTAACTTAATGAATTAAATCAACCTAATTAGGTTAATAACTCTTTTGAGATGTTCCAGGGATCCTCTGTAATATCTCAGAATTTCCTCCAGATCAAAAAGACTTCATTTAGAATTTGATTTTGGGAAGTTTGTAAAAAATAGTGAAAGGTTTTGGACACTTGACTAAATAGGATCATAGTTCACTGTGAGATAATACTTAGTTATCCATTTAACCAACGTTACAAAGACTTCACAGGCAAATACAGAAGTTTACACAGTGCTCAGCAAAACGTAGCCGTTTTTATATCGAAAGGACTAAGTTTAGTTAAGTAATCAAAAACCTGATTATAAAAATAATGAAGCACAGGGGATTATTTGGTAAAAAACACAAAATCTTTGCTTTCAGGGTACATTAGTTTAAAAGGTAAAGAAGAACCTGTCATAGTCTCTTATCAAGAATACACCAATTGTCAAGAAAATGTTGTCCTTTTACCAGAGACAAAATCAAACTATAAAGTTGTAGCAGCTTACTTTTGAAATTAAAATTCACTCAATGAAATTAATTCCAATCTTAGCCAGTCCTGACCATACATTAAGTTCCTTTCTAAAGATTCCTCTCCACAAACTTTCTACAAGTTTCTGATTTTGTCCTGTTTTTTCCTCTTTCCCATTTTTAATTAACCAGTTTTACTTTGGGACATATTTACTTTCTTTTCCTTCAACAAAATGCATTTCTATTTTACTGAAAACACACATCCTACTTTTCTTGCATTCAGAGATGATTTTCTTATTATTTCTAGTAGTTTTAGTTACATTTACTAATTAGAATTCTTAACCCTTAGAAACCTTAATTTCTAGTGAAAACTAAGTAAGCAGTTGTGAACTGTGTGTTATACCAGGATTCTTTAGATTGCCAAATTTTATAAATATATTCCATAATTTCTAGAAACATATGCTCCCCTCTTTTAAAAATAGTGCAGTCTTTCAGTATGGTACAAGA